CTTGTCCATCACCTCATACTGTTACATAAGGTTTGATTCATAAATTCAGAAGTAGTTTGTCTTTGGGTCACAGTCTGTACCAAGAAGGGGAGGTATGTTTTAGTCTTTAGGTTTAAACTTCAGGAATGTATCAGTGAGTTACTTTATTAGTGAAATGTACACCTAAAGAAAAAAATATGCTATTGGTTTTTAAACACACTATATAATTAATTAGAAACAAATAAATAATATTTACTTTAATACATATAGGAGAAAACCAACCAGTCTATCGTATTGATTGCACACTAGTTTGTTTACTTGCTCTAGTTCCACCACGTGTCTGCAATGCGGCCGCGCATGCGCCTCCTACAGTTTACATTTGGCACGCGTCACCGCTGGCGGCGCGCGCTCAAGAAAAAACAACATTCGGCCGCGGATACGCGCAAACACCAACCTGCTTTAACGCTGATTGGTCGTTTTATTTTTCCCCGCCCTCTTATGGATTTGATTGGTTGACTGGAGTGTGTTCTTCGTTTTCATTGGATGCTATTTGTGGCTAAGGCTGTGTAACTAGGCTACTGTGCTGCTGCTGTCGCCTTCAAGGAACAAGTCGTAGGTCGGAAACAAGAGTTTTAATGCATTTTTGAGGAGGAGTACGATATTTCGGTTGCAGAATTGCATTAAGACGTTAACAGGAAAAGTTTTTACGAATTCTGTTTTAACTTAACAAAGACAGGACGAACTGCTATTATTCTATCTATTTATTTCTCTTGTGTTTATGTCTTTAAAGGACATAAACGCTAGAGAGATGCCCACCATTAAATATTTAGCTTATATATATATATATATATATATATATATATATATATATATATATATATATATATATATATATATATATATATATATATATATATATATATATATATATATACGGTATATAAATATAGGGTATATGAATATAAACAAACATTCAAAATACATTTCATCTATGATTTAAAAACAACCTTCTTAACTTATTAAATAAAACTATTATTGTTAAAAAATTATGAATGAGAATTAAAAGAGATTTTTTTATTTGATTATTCATCTTTTATAATAACATTTATGTTATAAATATTTTATGCAGTTGAAAATTTAAATTAAATTGCACTTGGCCTTGTCTGTTCAAATCATATTTTCCTTCTAATGAGGATAACATGTATTGCAAGTTACATGTATAACCTGAAGTATCAAGTTTTTTAATGTATTTTATCCTTTTCATTGTAAATGTAAGCAGACTGGGACACCATGAAAGTAAGTTGAAATCTGTTTTGGCAAACTGATGGGACTGAATGTATCTGATGCAGATTAGTTTTTCACATTGCATTAGAAGGCCAATTATTTTCTTATGTCTGTAAGCCATTGGCTTGTTTGTGCTTATAAAGCTGGTGATGTACATGGATGAAGCCTTATTGTTTACCGATATATAATAATTCAAATCAACAACACAAAGAATGTCCTTTTTCTGCATTGTTGGTTGACAGAATGAACAGCCTTTTTCTATTAGTTAAAAACTCTGACATCACAATTTATTTCATTCTCTGACTTATAAGGAGAAAAAAGGTGGGATTTAAATAGTCTTCTTGTTTTAGTAATAGTTGCCTCCAAACAAAATCATTCAGTCACTTCTAATTTACATCAAAATGGCAACCAGAACTTTAAAGGTTTGAGTGGAGGAAAAAATGTTTCTCTAGACCTTCAAATTCGAAAGTATGGTGTTTAGATGCAGGACTGGTCCATCATCTGGACCACATCCTCTGGGAGAGTGCTCTACTGAATCTTGTTGCCATCAGTGCAGAGCTTCCTCTGTATGATCACTAATAGGGATGGACAACAGTAGTCGGATGATAAATTGTTTTTCTGTGTCATGTCACATCAAAGCCTCCTAGTGCCGCCCATCTGTGTTTTTTCCTCTTTAATATTTAAACACTCTTGATTTATATTCTCATATTTACTCTTGATATATCTTTATTAATTTGATGAATTGTTTAATGTAGTTCTTTTTATTATGCATACCTCTTTATTCTCCGGTGTGCAACTGAAAATGTAAAGACACTGGCCTATAGGTTACACCTTAATTTTGAGCTTGTTTGTTTTCTTTAACGGGTGATTCGTGTAAACCACATTCCCTGCGGCACCTGAACGCAGCACCACTGGAAATAAAACGCAGCGTTTTCTGCACTTTCTTAGACAAGTTTTCATCGGCAGTCAGCTCACACTCTCTCTCCAACCAGACCAGATATTTGATCACACAGGTTCATTAGACTGATGCATTCGTCACCGTGCGCGTATCTTGGGTTCTGACCAAAGCGCGCTTCTCTGCAGAGATTATTGGGATTTTCGCTATAAATAAAGGCCTCAAACGGAACCGCTCGGCCTATCGTCCCATTGCTGCTGCTCTCAGAGGACTGTCAGTATACAGAGGAGCAAAAACAACAACATGAGCCCACTCTGACGGATGGGTCTCCACTCTTCAGCCGGGACATCCAGATTCCCGCAGATTGCTACGGATCGCCCTGAAGAGCGCAGAGGGGATTCAGGACGGGACGCGCTGATGTTTGTGGAGACTTTTTAACTGAACCAAACCAACAAGGCTGCAGAGGCTGCCGCTGGATTTATGCAACCGTAAAAAAAAAAAAAAAAAGGGTTTCTGTGTTTCAAACTCCTGCAGCACCTCCAGGAAGGAAAGTCGTTCCCTCCGCCGGGCTGTTTTGGTCTCTGCAGGAAGGTGGTGGAGGGGGGGAGGCGAAGCGTCTTTGGGGTGAGTGCAAAACCATGGTGACCTAATGGAGGACACAGCGTTATTTGCAGCAAATCATCAGCATTTAAATGTGACCGAGGTGCGAATTTTGCAGCTTTAATGTCGCATTATATCTGAAAGCATGCATGTAGTATGAATTCGCTCTATTTGTCTGCATTCTGCAGCATAATGCACGACTTTGATGCATGATACACTTTTAATGTTTTCCTCATGTTCCTGCACGACAGCTGTTTATTTATTTATTTATACTCTTGATTAGTTATTATTTTAACGCTCTGCAGCATATCTGTTTATCTGATAGATTACAGCATCTTATTTCCTTCAAGAGCCACGTTCTGTAATTTGATATAAATAAGAGTTGCGTTCAAGAGCGCGGCTTATTTCATGGGATCAGCTGCGTCCTGCAGACGCAAATCGCTCAGTCTTTTAGTGTGTGTACGTGTCTCCAATGGGGGGATTAAATAGCCACGTGAACAGGCAACAAAAACAAAGAAACGTCGGATTTATCAACGCGCGCGCGCACAGCGCGTGCAACCCTGGAGGAAGCTGTAGGAAAAGTGTTTACAACCATTCCTCCCTGTGTGTGTTGGTGTGTGTGTGTGTGTGTGTGTGTGTGTGTTGTTGTTGCGCGGTGTTTGCAACATTTTGCTCACTAATAGAAATAAAATGCAATGAAGTACAGAGAAACTAACAAACGAATATGGATATGAATAAAAAAAATAAGTAAAATTGTTGTTTTGGCTGACGCGCGTCCTCGACGTCAGAGCTGCAGGGAGAAATAGGATGGAGAGATGCTCTCAGTGCGCGGGTAGGTCCCCTGTCACATTCATGCTTCATTTAGGCTACGTTTTATTTTATTAGATCAATATATGTGTTTATCTTGCGTTGATTTTTAAGACATACGCACATTGGTGTCACTGTCACAGTGGGATGACGGTGTAAACAATTTGAGAGGTTGCTGCTATACCAAATCAATCCAAACCATGGAAATAAAAGTGATATTTAAATTTTTCAAGATTAGACGAAACAATTACACATAATTATCTTGTTTTCAGTGTTTATCCTTAATGTATTTAATATATCCACGATATTTTGTCCGTCTTCTCTCCTAACTGATTCCAAACCCAGATATCATCTCATCATTTACATGTGAATTAAGGAAAATTAATCGCAAATGTTTACTAATTAAGTAGGCTAATAGACAATTTATTAGCACAACTCTTTAATAAAGGGAAAATAAGAAAAAGGTAGGTGGCGTTAAGCAGAAGGGAGGTGCTTATGTATTCTTAGCAATCAGAAAGGACGAGGAACTTGTATTTATTTACACATCCTGGTATCTGCACGCTGCCGCCTACAGCTGATGGCGCGTTCAAGCCGCCTGGGAAATTATATTCTCTACAATAACTTAATTTCTTTTTATTACATATATATGTTTTTCCTCTGTACTCGGAACCTGTATTAATATTCACTGATGAGACAGGCCTGACTCAGGTAAAAACTTTGGTATTTAGTCTGTTTTTTATGTCTGATCCATTGTTGCCAAACAAAGGTTTTCCGTAAATAAACAGAAATGAGCTCCTTTGAACCAAATCAGCCACCCGAGGGGTAAATGTGTTTGTTTTTTATATATATATATATATATATATATATATATATATATATATATATATATATATATATATATATATATATATATATATATATATATATATATATATATATGTCTAATTACAACTAGTGTAATTCCTTTAGATTGTATTTTATAAACAAACCCAAAACAGATCAAAATTGTTAAGCGGAAACAACAATTTGTTTTCATTTAACCACAATTATAAATGGAACAAATGTTGCATGCATTGGCATTCACTTTCTTTACTTGGTTACTCATGAACAAACCCCAGTACTAATAATTACCTTATGCTCTATTAAAACATAGCCCATATGTTAAAATTAGAAACCTATCATAAATGGAGTTAAATAAAGCCAAATTTTTGGATTGAAAACACACTAGAGCCCTGGAAGGATGTGAGATTACTGCTCAGGCCCATCTTCCTTTAAAGCAATAACCCCAAACAAAAAAATAAGAGGGCTACAATGGAAGGTTTTAGATTAGGATGGCCACATTTAGACCAAGATTTAACTGAGAATATTTGACATGATCTTAAAATTGAGATGAACACTAGGCATACATCAAAAAGCGACATCAGAGACATCAGACTTGCAACTGTAAATACATTCAAAGTTTTATTTGTTCAAAAACAGTTATTCTAAACCCCAAATCTTATTCTCCAATCTGTTTTAGGGTCTTATAAAAATTAAGGTCGAGAACTCTTATTTTGTAAAAGAAAATTGCCTTTTGTCCTACGGGTCCATAAAGGCTACACAGTCGTCCATTGGTTAATTTGGCTGTCAATCAGAGCCTTTCTCCTCCCACGTGGTGACGTCCACCTCTCCAAAGTAACGAGGCCAGTCTATTACGCACACAAAAGACACAACAAAAGCCAGTGTTGGGAAAATGAGATCCGTCAGCACCCAGAGGACGCAACAATAAAAGTTCCCACCTGGCAGCATCACACGTGGACCAGACCCTGGGACGAAGACAATCACTGGTTTACCCCTAAAAAAAAATAAAAAAAATAAACATAATTAGCAGAAAGTAACAACAACAACCATCAGGCTGCAGTTTCCCCACCGAGCTGCGCTTTGATCTGTCTCAGGTGGTGAGTAGATCCAACTCCAGCTCAACAATGTTTTTATTATTGCATCTGTGAGGAAGATTTGGGTTTTGGTGCCGTGTTGGGTTCACTGTCACAATGCAGAAACAGTAAAAGCAGCTCAGCCACACTGTTGCGCTTCTGTTGCGTCGAGCTCTTTTGTTGGGTTGTTGTTGGCTTGCGAAAAAAATAAATAAAACACAGTCTAATAAGCGTATTGGAAAAAGGGGTTCCCAAGATGAAATATTTTAGATGTGGAGAAAAGATGAATGCTTTTTAGTGTCTATTCTAACAGATGAGGACAGTGAAGCTTTTGTCTGGACACCTCTTCCTGTTCGCGGTGACCAGAGACGCACCAGAGCCGCTTCTTTGTTTCGCTCATCAGCTGATCCTGCTTTGCTGCGCTCACCTCACTTAGTTTTCACTTTCTGTCCTGCAGTAGAAAACATGTTAAGAACAAAGACCTGATCAAAAAGGAGGAAATAGACTCGAACAGGAGAAGATGCAATTCTACTGCATGATAATTAGTTTGTTGAACCTAAATCATTTTAGAAATGCGTTTTCTGCTTTTTGTTTCATTGTTCATTATAGAAAACATAGCTGATACTGAGAAAAGTCACCAAAACAAACGGAAACATGCTCTGCAGAATTTGTTTTCTTGTCCATATTGGGTATTATTGAATAAATAGTTGTGAGTGTGCGTCATATGAAACAGTCATTGGAGACAAACGACCAGCTATTGTTTGCACCGATCAATCCTCCAAATATGGGAATTAGCAGATAGTTTTTCGCCTTCTGATTGGCGACTGGACTTTTAAATGGAGTATTATAAGCATCAAAACTCAAACAACAAGCATCAAAACAAAAAGAATTCCTGCAATTTCTGACGTTTAAATGCATCAAACTACAGCAGCAAAGCTGGTGCATTTGTTTAAAAAAATATTTTTATAAAGATAAAAATAGCTTAATACAAGTGAAGTTACCTGATTTGTAAATGAAAATCTTCAAATGTCTCCATATTCTGCAGACATCTGTAAGATAATTTCTTATTTAGTTGAATTTCATTACAGAAACAAAAGAAATGTTTGAAACCAAATAACACCCTTAGCAGACAAAGACAACGGTCAGAAAATGCCTGATCAGCGTTTGTTTTTTGCTATTTTAAATGTAGAATGCTCTAATAAAACCAGATATTGGCTGACATTCCTCTTTGTAGCCATGGTAAAATATGCAGCCTCTGCCAGCTTCTTAGCAGGTTAATACACAACAATAGGAGGGGAAGAAGCACTGATTCATTACTCTTCTTTGTATGTGCTTGCAAAAAAAAAAAAAAAAAATCATGCTGGCACTTCCTCAGGCATCCCATTTATAGGCCCATTAGAATGGTGTGACGGTAAACGTCTCAAAATCTTAATCTGTCAACTAAGAAAAAAAAAGTTAACACATAAGGAGGGAAAATGAAGTAGATTTTGCTTTAGTTTCCTCTAAAGAGAGAAGAAATTAAAACTGTTAAACAACCGTCCAATCAGGCGATTTCATCTCAATCAGATGCTTTTCAAATTGTATCCAAACTAAATAGTCCTGAAAGTTTTGGTCTAATTGATGCAAAAAAAAAAAAAAAAAAGACATCCACTTCCCTTTTGCTTTATTTCTTAAAGAGGGGAAACATCTTGAGATGTATTTATTCTCTGTTGGATTGAAGAATGCCTCCAGTTACACAGCTTCCCATCTTTGCTCTCTGGTCCCACTGACCTTAAAGGTATTTTGGAGAATTTTCGCGAATTTTTAAAAAAACCTGCCCTCTCCAGTTAAAAAGAAAAAAATGCACATGCACAACCCTGTACCTGCTCCTGAGACGGAACCAGGGGTGTCTCTAGGTTTAAGACACAAGGGTGGCTCAGCCCCTAGAAGATAATGCGCGCGCATAGCGCGCGCCGAATTTTTTCAGTGCACCTGCTAAGGCGTTGTCTAAGACAAGGGTGTAACTTTGTGTTGAAAGTTGGTGGGGACGGCTCATAAGGAAAGGGAGCTACCTGCGCGACGCCTTTTTTTTTTTGTTGGAAAGGATAAAGCCAAAAAAATGCGAATAACATTTATCAATTTAATGCTTACAGTTGAAAACATAACTGTTACAATATTCACTTATATATTTTGTGCAAAAAATATCACATAAATCTAAGCAGACAGTACAAATCAAATAAATATATCAATTTTGTAGAACATTTATTGACAGTCAATTTTGGGTCACTTTTTAAAATTAATTTACTTTTAAACCAGGACTCGGACAAGATCTTATGGGACCTTAAGCAGAATATGATTAAGCAACTCCGTCTTTCTGTCAAGAACATCCACTAGCAGGGTATCCAGGGGGGGATTTACCATTAGGAAATACTAGGCAGTTGCCCAGGGCCCCAAGTTCTGGGGGCCCCATAAAACTCTGTTTCCATGTATGGTTAATACAACTAATCCTTATTTGTGCACATTAATTATGTTTTTGATAAAAATCCTTTGGCTAAAATGCCATCAGAACGCTAATAAATAGAGAGAAAAAAGGGACAAGAAGAGAGGGACAAAACCTAGAACAGATAATGGATGTCTATTCTATTAACATTTCTCTATCTGTAGAATGGGGCTGTTTTATGGGTTTTCTTCTCAGGGGGCCCCCTGCCTGTCTTTGCCTAGGGCCCCAAATTTCCTAAATCCGCCCCTGAGGGTATCAATACTGATTTGATAGAATCTGGGAGAGCGGACTATGTTCAACCATCCATTTTCTTTAACCTTATCCCTCAGTGGGATCAGGAGGTGCTGGTGCATATCTCTAGCCACGTTCTGGATGAGAGGTGGGATCACCCTGGACAGGTCACCAGTCTGTCGCAGTATGTTCAACCAGCTTAAAAGTAAGCGGTAATCAGATTTATTATTTGCACTTTTACTAAGTGAACTTTCTAACTCCCTTAAATCTGAAATTCCAATGCCAAAATTGTTTAAATCTTTTATCTTTGGACCCCCTGCAGAGTGACGTCACACCTGCAAGATCCTATCCTTACCTTCCTGCTAGATTGCAAAAAGCAGCTTGCTCATGAGTTGTCAACTTAACACGCTAAATCTTAAATGTACGTGTACATATAAAAAAAAAAAGGGGCGCAGTGCTTGCTACTGAATGGCAACACTATCAAAGTCAGGAAAAAGTTTTAAGTAAAGCCGGGATTAAAACAGTAGCTTCAAGAAGCTTCAAATAAAAGGTGTTCTTTATGTTCAACCTAAATACCAACTCCGATAGACCATCAGTAGAGCAGGTGTTTAAATTAATCAATCACTGCTGCGAAAGCTTATAGCAGTGAAAGCTAATATACCACAGCCATCACTTAATAAACGCAAAATAAACAACCCTCTAAAAACGGAAAACTGTAATGGACTTAAAGTCCTGTTTTTTATGTGGGAAATTATTTGCGTGTGTTTTAGTATAATTCTGATATATTGGCGCTGTTGTCTGTTTCTATGGCAACGATACTGAATGTAGTGTAGCTTAGAGACCTGCACGGGTCGAGTTTTACCAACCCGCACCCGCCCGAACCCGTTAGGATGACTACCGAACCCGACCCGTCACCCGCGGATATCTTCAATTCAAATGTTATGGGGAGAGGGCGGAGGGGGGTGATGGGGAGAAAGCGAGAGGCAACAGATTCTTTTTTCTGAGTTTTTTGTCGGGATTTGTGGACGGTGAGCAGCGGGGAGAACTGTTTTTTTATTTTCTTTCTGAGGAGCGGCATGAATGGGGTTTTAATCAGATATACACAGCACCGAAAGCAAAATACGTGTACAAAATATTGGTGGGGACATGTCCACACAGTCCTTAAGGAAGTTACGCCTATGATTGTTCAGATTAACTTGTCTTCTTTATGGCTTTTATTCGGTGCTTTACTGCATTTGTTTTGGGAAAATATGAGGAAAAAATAAATACAGAAAAAAAAAATATATTTTTTAAAATCGCAAAATAATTATAGGGTGGCTAATGCCAAAGAAAGGGTGGCTGAAGCCGCCCTTAAATAGGTCTAACGACGCTTATGGACGGAACGTATATTAAACGCGTGCAAGAGCACACACGAGTCCATTTCTCCTCGTGCATGCTTTGTTTAAAAGTTGCTGTTCTCATAACTCATACAAGCTTGCTCAAATGTCCGCTCTAATCCCTCAATCTCTATATAGGGCGGGGGCTATATATTGGACTTTATAGCTAACTCAGTTAACTTACCGTTTGGACAGATGATCACTACTTTTTGCTCCCCATTGGTCACATAACTCCTTCTCCACCAAGCTCTGCCTGCGCCATCTTCGTTATTAGTCGCTGCCGTTGGGTAGCGACAGCCTATGGTGACATCTGGCTGCTGTGACAGCACATCCCTTAATGCTTTGCGAGGAGAACCCTTCAGCGCAAAGCATTCTGAGATATATCTGCCTCCTCTGAGGCTTTTCTTTTCTTCTCATACACTTCGTAATTCCTTTTTCTCTCATGACCCTCGGCCATTTTCATAGAACCGTGATTAGAAAGGAAGCTTCAATGACTGTCTGAAACCATAGCTCAACACAGATATTCGCCTGAAAGTACGCATGCTCAGAAAAAGATAGCTAACGGGGCGAGGACCTAGGACGGCCTTACGTAAACATATCACTAGAATGATTGACAATTAGGAGGACAATCCTTATTTAGATGATCCACCCGGAAATAAAAGATTGTCCCCTTAATGTACCATTACTCTCAAGCTAAAAGGAATGCTGAGTTAGGTAAAGATGATAAAGGTATAGGAGGCCAATGACCTGCAAGCGCAGCAACAGGTGTGTGAGGGACAACCACTGCTTTGGTCCATGCCTCATACAGCTGCATAAAACACTCTGGCATCTGCCTAGAAGGACTTTAACTCGCTGTAACGCTATAAAGTATATTTAAAGAGGCTTTAACAACCTGTTGCACATAGAGACCACCCTCTGCACATTCCCAACTAGATGTAATAATAACATAATAGATGTGCAAACAGAAAAGATTGCTGTTAGATGCCCCAAAGTCAGGAAGAATCCAAAACAAACACAGGAACTTGCTCTGTGGGTTGTGTTTAATTGTCCATATTGGGTATAATTGAATAAATATTTGAGAGTGTGCGTCATGTTGAGCTGCCAGTAGGACAAACAACCTGCCATTGTATGTGTGTGCAGTGGACAACCCTTCCTGTCTGCAGAGGGCTTGTTTAAAGAGTGATGATGATGCTGAGGTGTGACATTAATAAAGCTTTTTGTGTATGTGTATGTGGTCACCTCTCAAATGTGCACATGCCACTGAGTTTAAACTGGGCTAATTCACAGAGAGGATTTTGTCCTTTTCATGCAGGGATTATGCCTCCAGCACCTGTGCAGATTATGCACCCTGTATGTAAATATGACTCGTCTGGAGGCTCCCTAGTCTTTAAAGCCAGCTCTGTTTATGGTTAATATTTTTATCCAAAGGTGTGCTTGCAGAGCAGACACGCTTTACGTCACAACCTGCTTCCTGTTAAGTTGCGGAAGCCCCT